ATCCTGCACATTGCTGCTGAGGCAAGGTCTTTCAGTTTTTCTGGGGCTTTGGTCTTTAACTGAGCAACCTGAATATTTTATTTGGTAGTCTAACCTCTAAGAGGAGCTAGCTTTAGTAGAGCATCTTTTGGGAATGATTAGTAGGAGCCCATTTTTTTTCTACATGGAAAATTATTTATTTTTCTGCTAGACAGACTTTTGGCTTTCAGCTTCCCTGGAACATGTCTAGTTGGTATTTGCTTGGTAACATCTGTAGTCTTCACACAGCTTTTCCCGTGATTTGTCTCGATCAACTAGTGTGTGGATAGTATTTCTGAAGGCATCTTCTTCACACAAAAGGATTGATCTCTTGTTAAACCTGCAGTGATTTCTCTCTTTGTCGGTTTCCCTTAGCTCAAAGGGACTTTGTAATTTATCTGGTAATCTCCAGGTCATGTCTGAGACCTCATGTACTAGGCAAACTGTAACTTGTTGGAAGAATATTTCTTGGCTAACTTAATTCAGCTCAGTTCAGCTGGATGTTGTCTTTATTGGCAGATTTTGCTGGATTTTTGGTAAACAAAGCATAACTGGTGTGCCCTTCTCTACTCTCTGTTCCTTTTTTCTTTCAGTTGCACTGAATTTGCATAACATTGTGATCATTTCCTTTAATCAGAAATCATAGCAAATATGGGTCCCCGGCGGAAAAATGTGAAACCATGCTCAGTGAACAGGGAAGGCTCTGAGTCTACCAAAGCTGACGAGCCAAAAGATTACATGAACCAACTCTCTCATGAAGTGCTTTGCCACATCTTTAGGTGAGCTGCTTGTCAGAAGTCAATTTATTGTTTATTATTATATTGTTTTATATTTTATCCACAATCTTACCTGCTTGGATACATATGTCATACACTATTCAGACAGTGTGGATGTACCACAGGTGAACTGGTGGATAAAACCTGGATAAAAAGAGGCGAGACATTTTTTTTTCAGTCCCAGAATTAATTTGAAGACTTTGAAAATTAATTTATGTGAATGTCATGAATGGCAGGACAAAGAAGAAAGAAGTGATTTAATTCTGTTCACCAGTGTGGGGTAACAAATGTTTAAATACTGATTGCAGTGCAGAAATGTATCTCGGGTATTATTACATATTTGAGGTGCATGTTTTGGAACTGTTGCATGTGCTTCATAGTGTGCAGAAGAGAACCTGGATGAGCATATCATCTTCCCTAAAGCAGAGTCCTCCTCCAAGATGTTCACTCATGCCTGCTATATTCAAAACATAATGTCTTACCAACAAGTTCTTCCAAAACAGTAGATCTCCAAAATGTTTTCAAATTGGTTGTGCTAGTATGTACTGAAAAATGAAAGTACCTTTCGTTAAACTGTGTAGAAACTATTTTGGCAAATGGCAGCGGCAGCCTTTATTAGAGGACTAAAGCATCTCTCCACTTTAATATTATATTTGTACCTTAGCTATCCTATATTCAGTGTCAAAAATTGATAAGTCGTTCTGCTTAGCAAAAGTTCACACTTTACAGAGTACAGTCTAAACATTCTGTTTGAATTAATGTTATTAGGTGTTAGAAATACATGGGTTTGTGTAGTCATGCTTGGCATTTTCTTTAGTTTAGAAAAATTAAGAAAAGGATCCATCTTTGATAAATCAGAGAGTTTGGTTTTTTTCCTCTCCCAAAGGTACCTTCCCTTGCAGGATATCATGTGCATGGAATGCCTGTCCCGGAAGCTGAAGGAAGCTGTGACTCTTTATCTGCGCGTGGTGAAGGTTGTGGATCTGTGCGCAGGCCGTTGGTGGGAGTACATGCCCACTGGTGAGTAATGCACTCAGTTAAGATATGGCATTAAAAGTGGTATTGAGCAAAATTAACTGTGCTATCCTGGTATTTATAATGGCACATACAGCGTAAATTTTCAAAAGCAGTAAAAGGAGTTAGACGTTCAATGCTTTTTGACTTTTGTGAGATTTGGGTGGCTTCCTTGAGTACGTGGTTTGGAAAATTTCTCTCTGTGTGTGTATGTATATTGGACATTACTGTAGTAGAAATCAGGATTCTCTGTAGCAATCTGTAAATGCAATCTGTGTTTGTCTGATTATTGTAAGGGAGTTAATCCAAGGGTTAATCCAAGAAGAGGCTGTTTGCATGCAGGCAGGAAAAAAATACAATGGAATGAGAGAGCAACTCATCTGCCAACACTTAAAAATGTAAGAATAAATAAGTTTTGATGTCACACCTCAAGCCATCTTCAGAACAGTAGATAAATTGGGCAACCTAGGTCAACCGTGTGAGTATTAGGATTTCTGTTGGATTTAAATTACACTGCTGGGATTTGTTGGGGAATAGAGCTAAAATATGAGAACTCTAAAAGTTAGAGGATCTGCAAAGTTAGATGTGTTAGGGCTGATATTGGGTGGACGGTTAGACCTAACCCAAGGTAGATGTAAATACAGGTAACTTACTAATTCAAAATAATTTTTATGTGTTGTCTTCCATAAGAATAAAATAATCCTTTGCTTTAAGAAATGGTCTTATTTCTTGAGAACTGTGTGCTGTGGTGAGTAGTGGTGAACTGCCGGTAACTGATCCATCTGGGCATTTTTGAACCATAGCTGAGAAATGGAATACCAGGAAAGACAGGCTGCTGAGGTGCTTCATCTGAGAAGGGAGAAAGTATAGTTAACCCTGTAGCCATGCAACTCCACTGAAGCAAACCTATAGCATGCCTGCAAAATTCAAGGCGGAAGGGTACGTAGGTCATGCTTTCTAGAATCTGGAAATAAAAGACAAGCTGTTGCTCCACTGAGTAAATCTTTCAACATTGTAGAATTTGTACTACTGTATAAAAAGAACAATGTGTTTGGCTTTCCCTTTACAGCTAGGTGTCTGCTGTCACACAAATACCAAATCTGTTGTTGTCATCTTAGGTTTCACTGATTCCAGCTTCCTAACGCTGCTGAGGAAGATGCCAGACATTGAACAACTTTATGGTCTTCATCCCAGGTATCTTGAGAGACGCAGAGTCCGTGGCCATCAAGCTTTCAGTATTCCTGGAGTTTTAGAGGCTTTGCAGGCCTGTCCAAATCTGCTGGTGAGTGGTTAAACTCAAGAGAGAGCCTCCTTCAGCAGCTGAGATGATGCATGCTAAAAGAGTAGAAGAAATTTGGCAGGGACTCGTTGCTTACAGGGCTTCATGTTCAGGCCTGGGCTTTGCATTCAGATCTGGTTGTACAGAGCAGCAGTTAATTGTGACCATATTTGCAAATGAGTGGTATTTTTAGTTGTACCAGTGGGAATCACACGTGCTCTTAAATCCAGAAATGAATTAAAACTCTGATTCTTCTGCTTTTAAAAAGAAGTCTTGTTACATATTTAAAGTGAAATAACACATTGTATTATGTATAATGCGTTATTGTGAAGTTTACATGGTTAGGTTGTTGCTTGAACTGTTGTTAGAGCATTTGCTTTGCTTCCTTTTATCCAGGGTGTTGAGACTTCTCATTTAGAGCTGGTGGAAGCTATTTGGACGTACATGCCACAAGTTCACATTTTAGGGAAGTTTCGTAATCGTAATGGTGCTTTTCCAATTCCTCCTGAAAACAAGTTGAAAATTCCTATAGGAGCTAAAATTCAGACTTTGCACTTAGTAGGTAAGTGTGGTAATGGTGAAGTAGTTGGCTTCAACAAGGGTGAATTTAAAGGCTTTGAAACTCTGCAAGTCTCTAATTCTTTTTAAGAGAGGGAATTTGGCATGTGAATTTTTCAAAATACTGGTTGCTATAATATGTAATAGCTTGTCCAAAGGGCAAATTTTAAAAAATGTGCTGGCGAACTGAGGTGAAGAACTTGTGTTTGAAATGTTTACAGCTTTCCTTACATGCCACATAGCAAAAAAAGACTTCCTTTTTAAAGCCAGAATGCTAAGCCAAATAAATTTATCCTAGAGTCTGTAGTTTAAAGTTCGTTTAAAATGTTTGTTTTGTTTGTGTATTATTAGGGGTGAATGTCCCTGAGATTCCTTGTATCCCAATGCTGAGGCACCTTTATTTGAAGTGGGTGAGACTCACCAAACCACAGCCTTTTAAAGATTTCCTTTGTATCAGCTTACGCACTTTTGTCATGAGGAACTGTGCTGGTAAGAGGGTTTCATATATGGAGGGCACGTTTAGTACGTAGAAGTCTAATTCTGTTAAAGGTACATAGGTGCCAACTGTAAATGGAAATCTTAGAATACAAGATTCTGAAAACAGTCATTGCTTTATTCATTGTGTTGGACAGAAATGTATCCTGCTCTTGTACATTATTTGGTGTTATGTAGTTCTGTTGACTTCCTGATCTAGATCGATATACGTGGACATTTTTGAATTCTTCAACGTTACATGTTTGATGTCGTTAAGTGAACAACCTTCTTTGTCTGTATTGGTTTGTTCTATGTAGGACCTACAAACTCTTTGAAGTACGTTCCCCTAGTGACGGGCCTGGCTTCTGCTCGGAATTTGGAGCATTTAGAACTGGTTCGTGTTCCATTTCTTGGAGGACTTATCCAGCATGTGGTAGAAGATAGTTGGAGATCAGGTATGAAACTTATTGTCCCTCATACTTAAACAAACAAATAAAAATACTGGAGGCATGCGAAGCTCAGCTTTTTTGGCTGTAGCATGTCCTTTCTTGATTGTTATTTTAAAGGCATCAAGTTTGGAACTATGGTTATGGTGCTAAAATTAGCTCTGTATTGAATATTGTTTCAATCTTTTAACTGCAAGTAACTCTTGACTGGTATGCTAACCCAGTTACATTTACTGGTGAGTAGAACTATCTGGATTGGATGGGAGTTGTGTGCAAATATGTGTTTTATTGATTTGCTAAGAGAGATGTTTTGTTAATTCACTTGTCAAGACAGCACTGATGGAAATGTATAATAAGGCTTAAGGTTGTGATCTGTGACTGAAGTGAAAGAATGTTTTTTCTATTTGTCAGGTGGTTTTAGGAATTTGCACACTATAGTTCTGGGAGCTTGCAAGAATGCACTTGAAGTGGATCTTGGCTACCTCATCATAACTGCTGCACGGAGGTATGGGCCTTTTAGGTGTTTCTTTTCTCCATTCTTTTTCAAAGTATGTGTCTTAGTAATGAACTCCAAGAATGTGAAGAAGGAGAACAACCTTTCACAAATTTAGGGAGTTGACATTTAAGTTTCACATAACAGGAGTATTCTGTGGTTAAAATAGCTGGAGTTACGTCTGCTTCTGAATCACTTTGTGTCATAAGCTGCCTTACACCTATATCTGAAGAGTGTGCTGCTGTTAGCCTCACAGCTATATTGCTATGCAACTGCCAAGTACTGCCATAAAGATACAACAAATATCGCGTTAATGCTGCCATTGTTGAAATAATATTTTCATTATATTACCAGAGGGCATCTGTTTAAGTGGTTTCTATGGCGATTGTGTTTTGACATGCCTTTAATAGGAACAATTCTTGATTGCGTTCAGGTTGCATGAAGTGCGGATCCAGCCTTCCTTGACCAAAGATGGTGTTTTTTCTGCTTTGAAGATGGCTGAACTGGAATTCCCACAGTTTGAAACGCTTCATCTAGGATATGTTGATGAGTTTTTACTACAGTGTATGACTTTTTTTATATACATAAGTTATTTGTCAAATATAAGAATTAAATAAGTTGATGTGTTTTCAATCATTTTCTAAGAGGGATTAAAAAAGAATATTTATGTGCTCATATTGAGGCTGCTGATCTCATACAGCCAAATGTTTTTCTTCACTTCCTGAAACTCTTACTGAAATTGGGAAAGTCTCAGCTTTATTAAACTGAAGTAATAATTTGATCGATTTTGCCAAATTGGACTAAAATAGGGAGTTAGAAAATCATGTGATAGCAGGCAAGTGTCTGAAATTTACTGCTGTGTTTTTTACTCTTTCATAGGTAAAATGTCAAATGGAGACCTGGTGAAGTATGGTTTAGCTGATGTGGTTGAAAATCCAGGAATTATTACAGATATTGGTATGAAAGCTGTAAATGAAGTTTTTTCTTGCATCAAGTATCTGGTCATTTACAACTGCCCACATCTACATAATCCAAATAATTGGATCACAGGTATTGCGCACCTTTGAAATTTTAGAGATATTATATCAATAGCTGTCATACTAAGCCGGAATTTTTCTCCTCCTAGTATTGCTTGTTCTATTTCTGAGTGAGTACAGTACGTTATGCTTGCTTTGGAACCATAATGACACTGGTAACGGAATGGAGATGCAGAAGATGCCTACTCTTAAGTCTATTAAGGGTATAATAAAAATGAGATAGGAATGCTTCAGGAAATGCATGTCTTCTCTTCTGCAGATCATTCAAGGTGGACCCGACTGGTTGACCTCACCCTGGTGCGATGCCATGCAATAAAGCTAGATTCTTTTAGTCAGTTCATTGAGTTATTGCCAAGCTTAGAATTTATTTCTCTGGACCAGATGTTCCGTGAACCTCCTAAGGTGAGTCCTTCAGGGGATGGTTTTGGTTTTTATTGTTTCCAGCTTGTTGGAAATGTGGTAAGCTCCAGCTGTTATGCATTCTTTTACAAGTTGTAATTAATTAAATAACTTGGTAAATAAATATCTTTGGTTTGCAGTTGCTATTATCATGATATGTTAGGGAGAATGATGCTTTTGCGGATGGACGCAGTGGCAAGGTATGATTTTGTATGAGTATGTGACCAGGAAATAAGGCTCACATTGATTCTGTGTTTCTCTTGAGGTCTCTGCTGCTGCTTCATTTTGCTACTGCTTTTTTTATATGATTTTTTTTTCCGACACTTATTTCTCTGTTTAAAATGCCAAAGGGTCTTTAAGATTTTGTAGTGGATGAAATGGAGGGACTGTTTCCTTGTTGGAGTGCTTTCAAAGCTTAGGAACGTAATTTCTTCATGTTGTTCCCTCTCTCACAGAGTACCACAAATCTTTATAACAGCTGTTGTAACGTAACGAAAACTGCCTATGTAAAAAAACTGCTTGCTTTGATCAGTAATTCTATCTTGAGGCTATAGGAAGTCTATAGAATCTGCAGTTTGTGTTGATGTAATATGATCTCATAGCAAATGAAATACAATTTAATAAAATAAGATCATATGCTTTGTGGAGTTCCCTTTTATTTGGACTTTAACAGAGGTTAATCCAGAGGTTTCTGGATTTCCAAACTTAAGATGAACCTTTGTGGTGTGTAGCATAAGGAAGTATTAGGGACAGTTTCCTTGTTCTTCATGTGCACATTGTTCTGCTATCCTGGATGCTACTGACAGAACGCTTTTCCTGTTAGCTAGGATGTGTTTTCAAGATCATGTGCCTGTGTTTTCAAATCTCCATAGTTGCTCTTTGTTTTCAGGGTTGTGCTCGTGTGGGCCTAAGTGCAGGCACAGGAATTGGTGTCTCGTCTGCCCTAGTCAGCAATCAGAACTCTAACAATGACAATGACAACAACAACAACCACCAGAATAACAATAATCCAAACCTCCACCACAACAATCACCAACACCCAAATGATCAGAATGAGGAGAATGAGGTGCGGCAAGATGGTCAAGCTGAAGAGCAGCAAATTGCAGCTGAGGGTAATCTCTGATCTTTGTGAACCTATGTAGGGAGTGATTTTATTTGCATTGCCACTTATGTAGGGTCCTAGAGAAGATATGAATATACATTGAAAGCTTGTTGCTGTTTTAGTTCCTGGTATGTAACTTTAATTGTTTCTCAGGGTTGTCAGCACATCTTTTGTTACCTGTGTGATAAAAGCTAATAGCTGTTACAGGCACATCACAATTCAATGATTTATGTCAGTACAGATGTTAGCAATGTAGACTTTCAGTGTAATACTCATCTGTGGAAATGTGAAGTGTTTTCTAGGCTCCTCTGGTCAGAGCTGGGAGTAGATCACAGTGTCAGATGGTATATTTTTAAATATTCCCAGCAAAGGTAGAAGTCATTGGAAGGAATGAATATCTAAATCCTGGTTATATTGCTCACTGCAGTAGAACAGGACTTTTGAGGAGAAGTGGGAAATATGGGCGAAGTAAGCCCCAAAAGTTAGGCTTGGACCTTGGCTAGAGATGTACAACAAATCTGTGCAAGCCTTTGTGCAACCTAGTGACTCACTGAAGGAATCAAGACAGCTATTACTTATTTTTTCATGATTCTCTGACTCTCTGTGGGTGCCAGTTGAATTCCTGTTACGCTTATGGGCTCTGTTCTTCTCTTGCCTTTTCTTGACCTCATCTTAATCTTTTCAGCACTGAATGAGATGGAGGAGGTGGCACAGGAAGAAGGGATGGCTGCTGGTCAGGGCCAGAATGAGGTCCCAGTGCACAGCCAGGCTGTCGTTCCTATGGAGGTCGATGAAGAGCAAGCAGGTAACTTTGGTTTTGGAAAGGAGTTACCTTTTGGTATCCCCTTCTTGAGGGGTTAGATTTTTCAGTACAGGTCTGCTTTGGATGGTTTTCTTCAGCAGGGTTGTCTGATGTGTTTGGTATAATGATGCTAGCACAGCTTATTGCTGTGAAGAAATTAATTCTATTTTAAAGTCAGTTTTACAGTCTCCAATTTTCTTTCGCATATGGAATAAAATATCTTGATCTTAAAGCCTTACTTTTGTGCCAAATACAGTAAGACTCAGAAGGTCTGAATGAGCTCGTCATGTTCCGGTGTTGGTGCTAATGGTCTTTTTTTCAAATGTTGGTTCTTTTCTTGCTTTTTTTTTTTCAAGCCACAACAACTTCTTTCAGTGTGAATTTCATTTGCATTAGTGGCATAAGGCAGTCTTGATTTCTTTTATAACCACTATTTGCTGGACAACATAATTTTCTACCACATATGCCAGCAACATGAAGTAACATACATGTATGCTGGCTCTATTCACTTTTTCAGTATAACTCCTGAAAGGGCTGTTTGACTTCATGTTCATCTCTTGTGTTATTCACAAGCAGCTATGTCATTGTGATTGGCTCATGCCTTCGGTTAGTAGCCAAGAGAGATAACTAACAAAGCACATTTATACTGAAGCTTGATAATTCATGCTTCTCCTTCCTACTTCTACTGGTGGGATTTAGAAGGATAATTGCAGATGTTCTGACCAACGTTTCTGTCTTTGTGGTGGAGGTTTCAGGGACTGTTTATAATATGCAGTTGTGCAGTTACTTGTACTATTCTGGAAGAACCATTAAGCTGAGAAACATTACAGGAAACTCGTGTTTCATCTTACATTGTGACACTCTTCCCCTTCCAAACTGGAATACTTTAATGCCAAAATCCAGTGTTTTGTCACTTGGATTTTAATGAGGGAGAGAGAGAATGGATGGCTAAATTGAACCAAATTAATCTCCTGTCATTTTCTCAAGCAGCTCTAAAAGTTTTTCAGCCCTTTAATCCATCCTTGACTTATTTTCACATGAACTGTTGGCATTCTTCTACTGTTTTCAGGACCTAGTGGCATTCAGCCTGTTGTAAAAGCAGCACCTATTACTGTCCATGATTCAGACAGTGAGGATGAGGAAGAAAACATAGGAACTTCAAGAGCCTGCATCTCTAACAGCATTGCACAGAATTACTCAGATGGAGAAGAGAAAAGCAGAGATCCAGTGGAAACTAGAGAACCTTCAGGTCTGGAAGAGATGGGTTCCTGGGCACTGTTAAGCAAAATTTATTCTTAAGCTTCAGTCAGAGTTTATAATGTCTGTGAAGCTAAATTTGCAGCTGTATTGTCTCTGTGATTCCTCTGTCAGAGCATTGCTGCTGAAACAAAATGTGATTGCTGGGGCAAATGCATGAGGGTTGTAGCCAGCTTTTGGTTTATGGGGGACCCTGTAGGAGTGTCCTGAAGTGGAAACTTGAAGATCAACTTTACTTTGGTGGGAGCTTTGGAGGTTAGTTAGAATTCTCAAGGTGATGTTCAGTACTGTCATCTTCACTTCTGAACAACTTACTGTTACGGGGTGGGTGTGTGTATGTGTATATATAGTAGAAGTATATGTATTATTATGACTCATTCAGAGTCAAAGGCCTAGCACTTCATGGTGGTATGACAGTTATGGAGAGACAGAGAAAAGGGCATTCCCTGTCTTTTGAACTTACAACTATAAGCTGCATATCTTTGTTACCAAGTCCAAGCCCTGGGTCCCATGCCATATGTCATACAGCATTTCCAGCAACAGACATGATGTGCTATTTCCTCTAGTTTGTATTCTAAGTAAGGTAGTTTCATACATACGCAAGAAGGGAGGAAGTCAAAGTGGAATTGTAATCTATAAGTGATTGATAGATGAAGTACGTACAGTATTAAGCCTTAATGAATATTTACCTAAGCAGTTAACATAAAAATCTGCATTGTGAAAGACCGAGAAATGTGCTGGTCTAGTACTGGCTTAATTTCTGCAAAGCCTAGGACGTATCAAAGCTGTAATGGATCTAGTATCTTCCTGTTGCATTTAGCACACTCCCTACACATCAGCCCCCTCATCACTGTAGTGCATTTTAACAAGACTGGTAGTTTCAACTTGGAGATCTGTACAGATCTGTATTATGCTTAGAGCATAGATGTTGGTTCTGATTTGAAGGTTGAATAATCTGCCTTTGGAGACAGCTTTTGTAGTGACAATAATATTAATTTTTGGGAGGGGGGCTTAGTTTAGTGTAATTACCTGAGAGGTTTAAGACAGTAGCAGTTAAGTTCCAGTTGTGTTTTGTATACTGTTCTGTATGGTTATTTATTCATCTGTAAACTGAGATTGATGTTACCTATTGACACCACTTGCCATACCCAGGAGAGGGAGCTAAGGATCACCATTGAAAGCATAAACCTTAGTCCTATCTGTTACTATTTTATTCCTCAGCCCTATTCCTCATATTTAACAAAACAGAAGCCTATTATCAGTATGTTTTTCATATTTTTGTGCTTTGGCCTTCTTAACCAGTTAGCTCCTTTGTGACAATATTAGCCTCTTTGGCAAGTATGTATCTCATTTACTGATACACCCCAGCACATCACTACAAAATTAGCTGCCAGACATTAGAGATTCAGCAACTGCTAGAAATGTTATTAATTGAAATGTTATTAATTCCCATAAGATGTAAATATCAGCATGGTCCTGACAGGATTTGTCACTGGTGTCTGGGCTATCTTCTGTTTTAAGTAGTCTCTTAGAGAGTAGCACTTAGCATTTATTTAAACTGCATGTTAGGTTGTCTCATTGTTCTCCCTTGCTTAACTCTTGCAGTAAGCGGTAAAGGCAAGGCACCCCTGCGGAAGAGATGCGGTGCCAGCCAAGTGGGCCAGACAAAGCAGTTCCATACTGAGGAGAGCAGCTGTGAGAAAGGTTGTCAAGTCACAAGTGAGCAGATTAAAGCAGACATGAAAGCAGCAAGTGACATGCCTGAAAGGAGCAAAAGCAAAGATTCTTACTCAGGTTGCAGTAATGCTACAGGATCGACGGGAACATCCAGCTCCTGCAGTGCTGTTTCTCCCAGCCCTGACAGTGCACAGACAACTAGTAGCCACTCTGCTGGTGCCAGCCCGGGAATTGGAGATGAACCCAGGCAGTGTGTCTGCTCACCCTGTAAAAGTGAAGGTTCCAGTGAGAGAGAGACTGAGGAGAGCTCTGTGTGCTCCAGGTGTTCCTGCTACAAGCCACAGGACGCACACCAGAGGACTAGTGGCTGTTGTGATGGGGAATGCCCATCCACAAGTGGAGCCTGCAGGGACGGCCCAAACAGTGCTGGGTCAGATTTTGCACTTAGGACTCTGCCAAGCTGTAGGCCTCCAAGAGAGACAAGTGATGAGAGGACTAGTGGGAGTGCCTGTGGGCTTGCCAGTGAGAAGGAGAGCACGGGCTCCCAGCAAAGGAGCTGTGAGGTGGAGTATAAAGAAGAGTATCCTCGCCGACCCCTAACAAGAGCTAGAAGCAAGCTGTCCCATGTCCCTTTGGTGTCGGAGTCAGGTATGACCTATATGCATATATTAATTTCTAAGTAAACTGCTGTGCTGGCATGAGACAGTATTGAACAAGTGCAACACCCACAGATAATGCTGAAGTTAAACGTGAAGTTTGTTGGTTAATAATTTAAAACTAAGTAGTTTGTTTATCTAAGGGTCAGAATGTTCCTGGAACAGAAATGGCTGACTTCACTGCCATAGCTAGGTAAAATAACAGGTCTCTGAAAGAGTGCCAGTGACTTTTTTTTTCCATGCAAGTATTTCTGTATGTGTTATCCGTACATACTAAACAGTGTTTGATTTACTCATTTGAAAACCAAATGCAACTTCTTTTGACAGCTTCTCTCTTCCTGTGAAGGCTGTTATTCATTGAAACATAAGACTGTCTCCCCCATTAAAATTCTCCCTTTAGAAGGAAGAAGACAGCAGGTACGCTCAGATCTCAGCAAGAAGGCAAAAGTTATTAACTGATACTTTATCAACCAATAAAGAAAGTCGTAATTATAATTGAGCCAAGCTTATGCACTTGCTTATTGGATTCTGCTTCCAAGTGTATAAGATGTGGTGATCAAACCAGTTGAAAATTGTCTTTTTATTAAATAGGTTCATGCTTCACATCATGTAAAGCAAATTAAAAATAAAATAAAAACAAAATCCTGAAGGGCTGCAATGAAGCCAGAAATGTTGGAAGAAAAGAATAGATGAGAGGGGAACTTGCTGTTTCTTCCAAATATACTTGCTTTCCCTCATATATTCAGGATTCTTCGAGAGTATCTGGCAAGTAAAATAAAACTGAAAAATAAAACGTGCTAGTTACAGAACTGTATGCGCTGGAGGTGGAAAAGATTGATAGCAAATTTCTGTCTTTGTTAACGTGGGATATTCAAACACAGTATGTCCTAGTGTCTTTCTAGTTTATTTTCATGTTCCCAAGCATTAACAAACCTAAGTCACCTAGGATTTATTCTGTAACAAGATGTAGCTCAGACAGAAGAAATGTTCCTGCTATTAAATTTAAACTGTCTGTTTTCTACTTTGCTCCATTATGAGTAGTAATTAGTCTAAAAAAATGAAAAGAAAATATTTCTTCTCTATCCTCATCCACTACCAAAACATGAAGTGAAGTCAGTCAGATTGAAGTATTAAATTGGGGCATCTTTCTGAAAGTCTCTCTGTTTTCATGTTTCAGTTGTTAGTCAGGAAAAAGATGTGTTCTGCTCGTGGAGAAAAGTGTCTTGGTATTTCCTGTATTTAGCCTACATGTCAGAACTGTTTTCCCAGTTCCACACAGTTATGTCTGTGTCATTGTGCACTTATTTTCCTCTTTGAAGCATCAGATACTAGGTGATGCTTGAGGCAGAATATGACACTTGATGAGTCATTTTTATCTTTTAAATCTGTGTTTAATACATAGGACAGTGAGGCTTCTGCCTGGCTGTTACGGTGCTTCTCTTCACTAGGACAGAATATACAACCCATTAGAAATGACTGGAAATGAAAATGCTTTGTTACAGAGTTGGAAATGTTTTTCCATAAATAGTCTAAAATGTGCCGTGAATATGATTGCTTTATATTATTCTAGCATAGATGACACTGTGGTTTTCAGCTCCTGTAACAAACCTATGTTTGACAGTAAAAGTATTTTTTTTCTCCTAAATTCTTTATTCATTAAATAGTGGAACAAGTCAAAGATTAAATACAGTGAAATTTTAAAAGCATTATCACCACAGACTAGATGGCTTACGGATGATTCAAGTGTAATTTTGCTTTTTGCTTTAGTAAAAATGTAAGCTGTACTCTTTCTTGTAACAAATGGGGGTTTTTTAAACTTCTTTTAGTTTGCATTTGTAGTAAAGCAAGCTTTTCACATTTTAAAATGAATGTTACATTAAACCCTCTGTAAAGATTTCTTGGCTTTGGGACAACAATTCCATTCAAAATTGGAAAGTTTTTCCTATAACATAGCTAGGAAGTGTTTCACTATCTGCAGATACTCTAGGAACTGTCAGAAAAATTCCCTGGGGATGATGATTCATGGGTGCTACAAGTTGAGTGCTTAATATTACATCTTTTAGCCTGTGGGTCCCCTAAAGCAGTAGCCTGAATTCTGTAGGCCCTAAGCCCACTAAATGTCACATGTTAAATAACAGTTTATGTGTATTGGTGGAATTTTATTATATTAAGTAGGAAAAGAGACTTTTTAATGTTAATGGTGGTATAGCATGGAGTAATGGGTAACAGACACAAGTTGGAACACAGGAGGTTCCACTTAAATTTGAGAAGAAACTTCTTCTCAGTGAGGGTGACAGAGCACTGGACCAGGCTGCCCAGAGAGGTTGTGGAGTCTCCTTCTCTGCAGACATTCAAAACCCGCCTGGACGCCTTCCTGTGCAACCTCATCTGGGTGTTCCTGCTCCGGCAGGGGGATTGGACTGGATGAGCTTTTGAGGTCCCTTCCAATCCCTAACGTTCTGTGATTCTGTGATTCTGTAATGAATATCTCCAGGGATGGGGCCTCCACCACCTCTCTGGGCAACCTGTTCCAGTCATCTACCACCCTCATCCTGGAGAACTTTTTCTTAATATTCAACCGAAATCTCCCCTTTTCTAGTTTAAAACCATTACCCCTCATCCTGTCACTACATGCCCTTGTGAACAGCTCCTCCCCGGATTTCTTATAGGCACCTTTCAGGTTCTGGAAGTTTGCTATAAGGTCCCCCCTTGTAGTCTCTTAATATTTTGCACTTCTGTATTGATTGTGAATGTTTGTGAACGTCCCGTATGTTTGAACAAAGAAGTCAAAGGAAGCTTAATTTTAGTAAAATGATTTCTTCTTTTCATCTCTTAATCACAGAAAATGTAATTCTAGGACAATTTTTTTCCTCTTACTGTAGGAAGTAAGGGTAGTCACCTATCATCGCTTCTTTTCAAAGCCTCATATTTTAAATCAAGCAGGAATCTGATGTGACTGCTGCATGAAATGGAGTAAGAAACAGCTTGGGAACATCAAAAGTATTTTATACCTGGGCATCCTTGCCTCTATTAGGAAAAACTTAGTGACAGTTATAAAGAGCAGACTTTCAAGTAGTTTGAGATTATTCCTGCTATTTAAAACATTAAAGCTATTTTGGTTCTTGTATTTGTCAAGAATGTTCTGTTTGCTGCAAAGAACCAAGCGTAACCTAACGATTCGTCTTCTTTCCTTGGCTCCCCATCTTTCTGTGATGTTGAACTTGTAGGTTCAGCATTCCTGTGTTTTAATCTATAAACCGCCCACCCTCCAGCCCCAAGTTACTTAGTATGAGTGATTCTGAGCAACAAACCTGAGAGTGGTTTTTGTGCAAGAAAAAGAGATAGAGCTGTTTCCAAGCCAGGCAGGTATTTTGATCTGCTGATGTAAGAAATGTGTGTTCTTGCTGGACATTTTCAGCTGGGGTATGCCTCTAGTGTTCTCCTGAAATGGAAACAGAGGAAAGATATTTTTGTTTTGTTTTCTGTTTCCAGAGTTTTCTGTTTCCAAGCCAAAGCCACGGCAAACCACAAAGCGGAAAAGGACAGCTGACAAGTCCACAAGTACAAGTGACCCCGTTATTGAAGATGATCATGTTCAAGTAAGGTCTTTCTCCTCACCGGCTACAGGTTTATCAGCTGGGGATGCTCTTGAACAGTGGTGGAATTAAACAAGCTTATCTTCCACGTAGAGCCAGATGAGTTATAAATAATGGTGTTGCTCTCTTTGGTCATGACCAGAGACGGGAAATTTCCGTGTTAGGTGTAGTGATGTTCTGACTGGCCCGAGACGAGCAAAGTATAATCTAAAGCTAAACTTAAAGTAAACTTGATGCTCAAGGCTGCAGCGCTGCATGAAATTCTGCCTTCCCACGGTGTCTGTCCTGATGTGCAGGGAAAAAAATATTCTTTGGCACTTATTTTTGAAATGACAGCATAGGCTACTGCTGTTAAGAGGTTTGTGATATGTAATTACCTCTGGACAAAGCAACTGGGCTGTTAATTTTCTGGCTGGAAGTTCTCTTAGTATATTAATAACATGAGTTAATTCTTGGGAAATCACAAGGTCTGGCTTACTGTACTGGCACTGTTTACCCAAGGCTCACACTGTAGCCCAGCATGAGATTGCTTCAGAGGGTGACTGAACAGCTAACTTCAGCTTCTCTTCTGAGCTCTGCTGCAGAGGAACCTGCCCTGTGTTTGTTTTCCTCTCTGTCCAGTGAAGAACTTAGCCTCACTAATACAAGATGGCTTTTGTGAATGTGTCCCATAGTATTTGTCTGGTTACTAGGATGCATTACAGATTTTGTGATTAGCCTAAAAGATATTTTTGGGTGCGTGATTTTTCTTCTTAAAATATGCCATTTTGAAAGAACAGTATTGTGATTTTTAATTTTTTTATTAACTGTGGCTACAAGGAACAGCTGAAATTACTGGAACTGAAAAAACCCATTGCAGAATGCTGCTGTTCTCTCTTTGCACGTGTTTACTTTTAATAGAACTGTTTAGTCATCTTTGTATAATTGGTCAGCTTCATCCTTGGGCTGCTAAATTTTGATAGAATTGTTAGTGATAAAGCTTTGAAAAATAAAACACCCAAAAAGATTCTTTCTTACTACCCTCTCCCTGTGCTTATGCTATTGGAAAACGATTCTGTTTGTGTTTCTTGAGCTTGATGCGTGCTTCATTTTTCTAACACTGATAGTGGACATAGAGGGTTAAATAAGTTATGTATATAATTTTCAACCCTCCATGTGAGGTTTTTCGCTGAGATAGCACTGGTAAAATACAATGGTATGGTAAGTTCAAGCCATGATTCTTTGCCATACCTTCTTTCCATGTTTAAAGAAAAGTTACTGTCCAGACTGCTGTTTTTGTCATTGTGGTTGAAAAATGCACCAATTGCATTAGTAGAGGGTTTGAAGTTCCTGCCAGACGATGCTTAGGTTTTCTGATAGAAATTGTGCTTTTGATATGACTCCTCTTTTAATCCTTTGAAGTTGTTCTTCTGCGTTTTGTGATGTCGCTGATCAGAGGAAGTATTTTTTTTCCTCATTGCCACCAGTAACCTAGTCATCTCATACCTTCATTATTATATAGATATAAAATATATACACCTATAATACAAACAGAAGCTGTTATTAGATTATTATCTAGGTAATATCCTGCTGTATCTGGCGGTATCTTTTAAAATTCAGTTTCTTTTCATTTTCTTCTTTGTTTTTGCCCTGTCATAGATAGATATATTTTTTTCATTTTCACCAGGTACTGACTTTGAAATCCAAAAACCTTGTTGGAATCACCTTGACTAATTGTGGAATAACAGATTTGGTACTGAAAGACTGCCCCAAAATGATGTTCATACATGGTATGTAGTTAACATCATATGTACCTCCTCCTCCTGGCATTTTTAGAAATTTCTGGAAGAAATAAAGTCAGTCCACTGCTTATTTTCTATTCATCAGCTGCTTTGCTACAAGTCAGACTGATGCAGAACACCAAATATTACTGCTTCTCAATTTGAATGCCTCTTTCCTTATAAGTCGTAACAGATTTAATAAAGATTAATTGCTGAAAATCAGCAGATTAAATTATGTGACAATTAGGAAGATGAGATGTTTATTGAAGAGTGATAATACAATAATTGGAAGTTGATGAAATGAGTCTGAGTACCTTGTGTTTTCCTCTCATTTCTTCCTGCTTCCATAGTTTGTTTAGCTGACATGATGATACTTCCCTCCTTGACATGATAAAAATCTGTTTTAAATTATGGCACTTAAGCTGCATTAGAATCACTTGCCAGGGTGTATGACTAGTTGTTTTATTGAAGCATCGGGTCATTCGTTCTTTTCTGCAACATCTGCACTAGATAACACGTTTTCTTCTGAAACGAGGTGTCTGCTTAGCAGAGAATGAAGAAATCATTCCATTATTTCTTTCCAGAATAGAAGTATTCCAGAATACTTCTCAGGACATGCATTAATTTTTAACTTCACTTTGTTTACATGAGCAGGGTTACTAGAAAGGAAAGAGCTTTATTTTACATTGTGTTGCTTCACAATACTCTGTATTTGATCTGATTTTAAAGTGAGTGGCTTTCAATTGTGGCAGTCTGCAGACTGTTTCAGGGGGCTTTGTGAAAGGAAACAAATGGGAAAAAAGGTTATTGTTAGATTAAATTTGACACAGCCTTTTAAAAGAGCTCTTCTTACAAGTTCACAGATTAGCATTTTGATCGTAATGGGGAGGAAATGAACAGCTCATCTGTTGCTTTGGTATACAGAAATTGCCAGCTATCCAAACTACCTCAGTAATTGTTTGTTAACTTATATAACTTTTTTACCATATTTTTGAAACAGTTGGCTTTGAAAATCTCTCACAGGAGGCTCATAAGGTCTTTTCAGTGTTCTGCTTATTTTCTTTTAATAATGATGTTTGCTGATTTATAGCTACAAGGTGCCGTGTATTGAAACACTTAAAAGTAGAGAATGCACCAGTTGTCAATCGGTTTGACTATGCCCAGTGCAAGAAGTTAAACATGGATCAGGTTCTGGATCAGATTCTCAGGATGCCGCCAGAAAGAAACCGGATCATTTATCTTCGTCCAATGCAGCAGGTACACAACCAGCTCTCATTTGATCATGCACAGATACGAAGTTCTGCCTGTGTTCTTTCACCACTCTTGGCTTCATGTGTTTTTCAGTTAATGCAAGAAATGTAAATGTCACAATAACACAACTCTGAGTAACTTGTTTATTAAAACTTTATCCCATCAAAGCTTTTATTGCAGAATCTGGAACTTTTAAGACTTAACGTTACCATCTCTGATATTCATTGCTTCAGAAGATACTGTAAAAAATCATGATGCGTTGAATTAATTCCAAACTGAGTAACTAAAAGTAACTAAGAACCTAGATGCTACTAAGTCAGCTTGTAGTTATGTGTAATCAGGAGCATGACATAGGCATAGCTATCTGAAATGTTTAACCCATGTCCTATTAGATTTAGTCACAGCAGTTAGTGTTTTGAATGCTACTTTGCTGAAAGCTGCCTCATCTTTTGATGCTAAACTGTGCTGCAAGACAGTAACTGGGAGCCACCCTTTGCTTCCCCAGATTACCTGTAGAATTGTCAGTAAGCACTGACGTTTAGTGAGTTGTTGAGGTCATTTGACAAGTAAATTAGAGAGCTTAATTTAAGATCCAGAATGTTTTTTCAACTAACCAGAGAATTCTGTATTACACTGTGATGCAGCTTCTCTCAGGTGAAGTAAAGCTTTTTCTGACTTGGTTTGACCAGGTGGACAAAAGCAAAGGTTAATTTTGTATAAAAGCCAACTTTTCTTTGAAACCAGATCTCTTGTATTAGCTCTTAGAGGACAGTGGTAAGACTATTAGAAAACAAACAAACAAAACAACAACCACAAAAAAGCCCCAGAAACAAACCACCAAAAAAACCCTGAAGACTCAACCCCCTTCCCCAAGTCAGAGACAAATTCTGAGAAAGTGAGTGTACTTGAGACCGTTATGTGATTTTATGAAACTTTACTGACATACCGAAGTTGCAAAGCACATCAAAAAGAGGACATTTCCCATCAAATTCCACTGGTCGAGGAGATTCGTTGGCAAAGCTGCACTAGGAAAGTTTTGCTCTGCCTAATCACGTATTTAGTTATGTATGCTGTTGAAATTTCTTTTTGCTGGACATGTTCTCCCATAATTTGGGTGATTTGGTAGATGTCTGCTCTTGACTCTAAAATCCCATCTCTCTGTTTCTCTTGGTCACAAGTCTTTGTTTGCTGCCTTTCACAGGTTGATACGTTGACTCTCGAGCAAAAGATATTTAGTGGCCCTTACCCATACCACATTTGCATAATTCATGAATTCAGTAACCCACCTAATGTCCGCAATAAGGTGCGCATTCGGAGCTGGATGGACACAATAGCAAATATCAACCAGTGAGTACTTGCCCTTCAGTAACTTCACAGAAGAGGTATTCAGTCCCAATTCAGCAGCTACAGCTTCAGTCAAGCTGCAGACTTACTGTATTCTGTTTGCCAAACTAAAAAAAAGTGTTTGTTGACTAGCGAATGTTGAATTCTGGATGGTGCAGTATAGAATTTCAATATCAAGATGTATCTAGTACAAAAGTACATTCAGTAAACCAAACCATATGAAAATCACTGTAGAATTCTCCAGTTTTACTCCATCCAGCAGTAATGCAATTGAACATTGAAGTAGTCAGGATGGCTGAATAATATCTTAGAATCTGAAAACAAGTTTCTTTTATTAAAAAAGAGACATATTTACTCCAAGAAATAATGTTAGTTTCTGGACAAGATGATGTGCAGTCAGTATCGGCTCCTTACTGAGGAGCAAAAATTCCTAGCAGGAGATAACTGTATACAGGGGCTTTCATCCAACTATTTCAAACCAGTGTTTTTGTTGTCCTGGTTTTTCACTAAAATGACAACAAGAACAAATTTGCTTTTGAACTTTTGCTTAGTTGCAGCTATGTTGGATTGTTCCTTACTGATAGAAAGCTATGCTTAAAGGGTAGCTTAATTGGTTTCTCATCTAAATTGTACATCTAAATTTTTCTCTGTGATTACTCTTAAAAACGATGGGACTGCATACTGAGTTTGTGTGAGAGTCTTAGAGGAGTGTTTCTGTGGATTCAGGCTTATTAAAGAAGAGGTTGTGTAATAGCATTTCCCATTTGGTTTTTCTTCTTCCTGCCTTCACATTTCCTATCATTACTGGCTGTAATCTCTTCCTCCTTCTCTCTAGAGAGCTTATTAAATATGAGTTCTTCCCTGAAGCTACACGAACTGATGAAGACCTGAAGAAATACACTAAGTACCCTTGGGGACGAGATATTTACACTCTAGAAGGTAAGTGTTTATAGACAGCTGAAAGCTGATGATCAGCCTCTTGCTAAGATAAGTAACTTTGCCTTGAGTTACAAGAGACATGACTAATAAATCTTGTGAGGGAAGTGGAGGACCTTTGGCACAGAGTGGGGGAATTGAAGTGAGGAGGTGCTATTCCTGCATTAGAGTGACTATGTGCTATCAGCAAAATTAACTTGAGTGCTGATGCTGCAGGAGTGACATTTGTCCTCTTTGTATCCTCATCCTGTCTGTCTTCTAGGCATTGTGGATGGTGCCCCTTACTCCATGATTACTGACTTCCCATGGTTGAGATCACTGAGAACAGCAGAGCCAAACAGCTATGCTCGATACGACTTTGAGGATGATGAGAGAAGTGAGTAATCTTTTTTTTTTTATGTGTTCCAAGAACTTAACTTTGTTGCTTGGTCCTCAGCTGACAATGTGTTCCTTTATTTTTCAGTTTTCTAATTCTTACGCTGTTTGTGGTAGACTCTAAATAACTGTTTGTAGCAGTAGGGGGAGCTGGATGAGGAGAGGGTCCAGCAGAGGAGAGGGCCACAGTACTACAACAGTGTATCAACAAGCTGGAGACCCCTAACACTGCCAAAATCAGAGAACCAATCTGGTGCTTAGCCTAAAACTGTGATGGGTTTGTCATATCCAGAAAAATGAGTGCCTTTAAAACGCACACAAAACTAATGTTGTGATGTGTAGTCCCAGCAATTCATGTTCTGTGTTGTTTACTGGTGTTACTGCTGAAAGCTCTGCTGGACTGCTGCCTCTGGCTTTGCTTTATGAAGGGTTGTTAAGGTAGGCTCAAGAAAGTCCAGCAAAGATAAGTGAGACGCACAGAAACTTGGGAGAAAAGAGGAAAGAACTGGACTTGAAAGCTCTGTAACAGAGATTATAGAGGTTGGAGTTCAGGATAAGTACGCCTCTGTCTATTTGCAGCTTGTCTCATAAAATATGACAGTGAGCAGTTCATAGGGCTCAATTAAGAACCTGGCTTGGTAGCAGGGGAAAAATGTGTTCTTCCACTACTTATAAAAATCTTGGAATCTCCTTCATTAGAGGTATTTTTAATTGGCATAGTTTTGGATAATCTTATCTAGCTCTAGTTCAAGGAAATGAAGCTCAAGAGGATGAGGAAGAAATCTTTTTTTTGTTATGCCTTTCTCTGATTTTTTTCTTTTAAATTTTATTTTAATTTTCATAGAATCATAGACAGGGACACCTCCCACCAGACCAGGTTGCCCAAAGCCCTGTCCAACCTGGCCTTGAACACCTCCAGGGAGGGGGCATCCACAACTTCCCTGGGCAACCTGGGCCAGTGTCTCACCACCCTCACAGTGAAGAATTTCCCCTTAATATCCAGTCTGTAGCTCCCCTCTTCCAGTTTAAAGCCATTCCCCCTCGTTCTATAGCTACCTGCCCTTCAAAAAAGTCCTCCCAGCTTTCCTATAGGACTCCTTCAGGAACTGGAAGGCCTCAATAAGGTCCCACTGGAGCCTTCTCTTCTCCAGGCTGAACAGCCCCAACTCTCTCAGCTGGTCCTTGTAGGGGAGGTGCTCCAGCCTTTGATCATCTTCATGGCCTCCTCTGGACCCGCTCCAACAGCTCCATGTCCTTCTTATATTGGGGGCCCCAGAACTGGACACAGTACTCCAGGTGGGGTCTCACCAGAGCAGAGCAGAGGGGCAGAAGCACCTCCCTCGCTCTGCTGGCCACACTGCTTTTGATGCAGCGCAGGATGTGGTTGGCCTTTTGGGCTGCAAGCACACATTGCTGAGTCATGTTGAGTTTTTCACCGACCGACACCCCCAAGTCCTTCTCCTCAGGACTGCTCTCGAGCAACTTTCCACCCAGCCTGTGTTTGTGCTTGGGATTGCCCCTGCCCAGGTGCAGGGTCTTGCACTTGGCCTTGTTGAACTTCATGAGGTTCACCTGGGCCCACTTACCCAGCTTGTCCAGGTCCCTCTGCATAGCATCCCTTCCCTCTGGCACATTAAAAATGCAATTTTTATTTGAAACTGATTCGTAGACTTAATGCTTGAAGTTCAGTATGTGGTCTGAATTATAAAAAATTGCTGTGTATTAGATTTAAAATAGTAATTAGATTAAACATATTTAAGCCATAAAAAATAAAGACAAGACTGCTGCTTTATCCTTAATTGCTCATGTTTATAAAACATTGAAGTGATGACTGAAATGGATAACCTGAAAGTGTGTCAGATAAGTCTCAGGAGGAAGGTTTTGTTATGTGCAGGGGTTCCTTTCACTCACAGACATGGACTTTGTATACGTTAGAATCATCAAATTATGAAGGTTGGAAGAGACCTCTAAGATCACCAAGTCTGTCAACCTAACACCACAAATTAAATGAGTATTGGAGTTATTGAAATGTTTAAATCCGGGGAAGGCAGAATACCTTTTCTGCTTGAATAATATTCCTTAAAGGCAGTTGCTCAGTGGAAGATTTTTCTGTTTGCGTTGTCTTCCAAGTCTGTCTCATTTAATGCAAAACAGATTCGCATGTGTATTTCTTTACAGGGAAGATTCTAGTTTTCATTCTTATGTGCCTTCCACAGCTACTATTTATGCACCCCGAAGGAAAGGACAACTGTCTGCAGACATCTTCCTTAAATGCAGTTGCTCAGTGGAAGATTTTTCTGTTTGTTTTCCAAGTCTGTCTCATTTAATGCAAAACAGATTCGCATGTGTATTTCTTTACAGGGAAGATTCTAGTTTTCATTCTTATGTGCCTTCCACAGCTACTATTTATGCACCCCGAAGGAAAGGACAACTGTCTGCAGACATCTGCATGGAAACAATAGGAGAAGAGATCTCTGAACTGCGCCAGATGAAAAGAGGTGTATTCCAGCGGGTGGTGGCGATCTTCATCCATTACTGCGATGTCAACGGTGAACCAGTAGAGGATGATTACATTTGAGTGGATGTCCTCCCGAACCTCTCATCCCTTCCAAAATTCTGATTGGCACTGCCGGCCAAGAACGCAGGTGGATTCTTTCCGAATGCAAAGCATTTTCTTGAAACACACATACTTTGCAGTTGCTCTTACACGGTTTAAAAAGGAGTATGTAGTAAATGTATAATGAAAAGTAAAAATTTGTATACTAAGATTTGTACATAGAGGAAAGAAAAGAAAAACTGCCTAATACTAAGACTTTATTTCATATGTTTATACAATTTAATTTAAATTCCATTTTAATGAAGGCCAATAATTAGGAACAGGGAATAATACTTTAATTTTTCAGCCCATATGACTCATAGCAGTATTTTTTTTCTTATGAACAAAATCCCATTTGCTGTGTTCCAACAGAGTCATCAGAGTCTCTATTAATCTGTGCCTTTTTCTTGAGCATTTAAGAGTCCAGTCTGAGTAAACGTGTTGAGCACAACCTTTGTGTCTTGTGTGCGTTTTTCAAAGAAAGGGAATTATTCTACAGCTGGTGCAAAGAAGATCAAAAGCAGAAAAAAAAGTAGCAAAGCTGGTGATCTGTGTTTGTTTCTAGAGTTCATTAAAAACATTTTTGGGGAAAGAAAAACCCCCACATTGAGCACCTTGGAGACAGAAGATAGGTTCTAAAGCATTTTGTACCATTAGGTGTTATTTTAATAGTGTATTTGACTCTGTAATATGAAAACCAAGTTGCTCAGTGGTGGTTGCACACTCTATAGCATAAATCTGCATATACTAGCTGGCTGAAAGCTGAATTTTCCCTTAAGACAAGCAGGAAAAGCGACATATAATTGCTTAGTTGTAGCTGTGTCAGTACAGGATCCATCTGACTCAACCAGTGAGCTTTCATGCTGATTCATGCTCACTCATGAATGCAGATTTTCCATACAGTCAGTAAATACTGCTGCTCTTTGCCCCTGAATACTTGTTTTTATTGTATATAGAACATGCCTCTGCTGAACACAGTATCTATAGATGTTTTGTGTGTGTGTCCAGAATTTGCTGCAAGTCCAGTATACAGGTATAAAAATGCACAAGTTAGTATTGAACTGGCTGGCTCATGCACTGTTAGTAAAGTGCCCTCTGGGGGTGGGAGACCTCTTAAAGGCTGCTTCGCTGTGGTGTGAAACAGTCTGCATGGTGCACAGGTGTGATAGCACAAGTGCACCTTTACGTGTTCCGTATGATCACCTATGGCCTGATCTGTCCTTCGTGCTTTTTTAAAGTTGTACTTAGCAGCCTGACAAATGACAGTTCACTAACTTACTGTGGTAAAAGCCGCAGAGCAGGTTAACTTACACCGTTACACAGTTTCACACATTGCTGTTAATTATTTTAGTTCTTCAAACTTTGGTATAAATGTGACTAATGGAGATTTCTGTGATGTTTAGCTCTGTAGAATTGAAGAGGCAAAACTGTTCAACACAGCAAAGCCAGTGTTAGTTTTCTCTGCATCTGTCCCTCTGCAGAAAGACTTACGGTAACGTGGAGCTAGAAATCTATTCGGTAAGAGAAACAGAATGGTGCCCAGTGGAAGCAGCAGGAGATTTTTATGGTAGCATTTTCTCACACATGTGCTCTCTGCTCGAGCTGGAGGTGGAGCGCTCAATACCAGATACCAATGTGAATGCTGTTAGCCTGCTTTAATGCAGGATCAAAGTTAATCATTTAGTTGTAACAAATATATTTAACCATAGATAATATATTCAGTGATATTCAGACAAAATGTAATTGTGACCCTTTCTGGAAGTGTTTCAAGTAACCTGAGTCATTGATTCAGTCATGTTTACCATTTTAATACAGGAAAATGTTGCTGTGTTTCTAGGGTACTGCACCAGCTCTCCATCTGGTATCTCTAACTTTAGCCATTTGAAGAAGTATTTATGCAAACAATGTACTTATTTATAGTCAGTATTTCTTTGTGTAAGCAATTTAACCTTGCAGTAATTTTAAACATTACACCCATTTTACACATGGTGGTAGCGCAGTGACTAAATTAGTTGTGTCCATCTCAGGAGAGCTCTGGGTGACTGAGATTGGATATGGGATCTGGCCAGCATCTGAACTGAGGAAAGGAGCAAAGCAGATGAAAGAATTATTTCTCTCCTCAAGCTTCATTAGTAAAAAGAAAATAACATTACTAGCACAGGAACGCGTGTAGTTCGTGTCAGCAGGAGGTGCTGTACAAACAATAATGTGCTTGCCCATGGCTTGCTTCGGTGGTGGTGTGCTGGTGCTGGGCTTACGCACTCCATTCTGCTCCAAGTCCCAGGTGAGAAGCTGTCCCAGTTGTAAGGGCTGACAATGTCTTGATTTGCTTTCCGCCACAAAGAACAAAAAATTGCAGTTGTCATTTGGGTTTCTGATTTCTTCTTCTGTGGAGCCTTGAGTCACTGCATCAGGGGACGTGTGCTTACAGTAACAATTGCTGTGACATCAGCCCAAATTTGCAGATGGGGTGTGTACTAGTTGTGAGTGGTTTTTTTTCAGGTTGTTTTTGATTTTGTTAACTGAAGAGGGGTAAGTGGATCGAAGAGCTATCTGCAAGAGCAAGGGAACTGAAACAAGGTGGCATGCATGAAGTTGATTCATACACCTTTCATTCATATGCTGAGTCAGCTCTGAGATTTTTACATTGCACTAAATCTTTACTCATGAGGGTTGCCTGGGTTTGGAACCCAACCCGTGTTCGTATTCGAGCTTTCCAGTTGGAATTTTTCTGATCTTCTCCCCGTCTCATCCAGCTGCAGGGGTCAGGTTGGTTTCAGGCCCCTCCGCGCTGCGGCGGCGGCTGGGGCGGGCAGCGCCGCGTCCCTT